CAGCCAGAATATATTCCAATTGGCTCTCTACATCATTATATAACATAGAGCTCATGACATTTTAGGCCTAATTACATGCATGTCATAATTGCCTAATGATATATTCCTATGCAATGTCTACTTTCCCAGGCTATACAATACCCTTACACCTCGCAGTCATGTGACTCAGCCCTGTGACTTGCAGACAGCAGCTGATTCCCAGTCAGAGCCTAAGGCCTGCGAGGCAAAGCAAGGCAGCTAAAAGGAATGCTCTCCGCTCCTCCATCTGTGTTCAACTTGATGATCCTCCTGGTGCCTATGTCAAGTGAGCCGCAACTTGAGCAGGATGTCAGTGGGCAATGCCTACGGACACTTGAATTTGGAAGAGCCGTCTCTGTCAAATCATTCGACATCACTAATTCATATGTTGGAACTGATGTTGGGACTGTTCAATTTTTCTTGTTGTCAGCGACAGGAGCACTGATAAGGCGTGGATCACTTGGTGTTCAGCTAATTTGCTATGGTTATCCCCGGAATACCAGCCCGATGCTTCGGCGGTGTCAGAGTCGACAATAGGTCTGAGTTGTGAATCGGGACAGGTGCTATTTCTCACGTTCGATTCCCAGGGACTTTCACGCCTCCTTTCTGGGCACTGAATCCCTTCTAGATCACGTATATCATATGTAATGTTGTCATTCACAATATCAAATGCTTTTGCAAACAGAGGGGTAACAAAGAGAATTATTATAGGACTGCATTTCCACCCGCATGTCTCCTATGTATTGGGGGCACTCCCATTTTTGCAACGCGACTCACCAATAAAAAAAGGAAGACAACGGCAAGGACGCAGATACTGTAAACACCTAATACATATATCACAGCTTATTTGATCCCGCGCCAGACTCTTGAGCGCCTCGACTTCTCTCGCTGCCTATCGCGCATATTAACTTTTACAGTGAGTATTGACGTCAGCTTATCCAAGCAGAGAAATCCAGTAAGGAGTAAGCTTATTCCCCGTCGAAAGCCTTGCGTAGCCCGGCTATGTCAAGCTTCTCCATATGCAACATAGCAACATACGCACGGTCCCGTTTCTCTATCTCTGTACTATTCAGCATCTTCTGGAAGTCGTCAGGCACAATCTGCCATGACAGGCCAAACTTGTCCACCAGCCAGCCGCACTGCCTCTTGCTCTTATCGCCACCCTTGCCAAGCTTGTCCCAATAGTAGTCGACCTCGGCCTGGTCTTTGCAGTTGACCATGATAGAGATTGCCCCAGTAAACTTAAAGTAGGGGCCTCCATTGAGGCCGACGAACTTCTGATCATTGAGCTCGAAATCAATAGTCATGAGGCTGCCGGCCTCGCGCCCATGGACCTCCTTGCCGGCTTCGGGAAAGTAGTGGCGCCCCGTAACTTTGGAGTTCCTGAATATGGAGGTGTAGAACAAGGCGGCTTCTTCTGCTTGGCCATCAAACCAGAGGCAGGTCGTGAGTTTGCTAACAGACATTAGGCTAGTGGTGGCGTGCTAGGAAGATATTAAGACTTACTGAAATTCCACCTTCTTAATGCTGCAAAGAGTAAAGAGACTACAGCTAATCTTTAATTAGTTCTGCTCACAAAATGGGCATGATCACTTGATGCTTAACCAAGAAGAATGGCGCTAGATTAAGTATCTTCTTTAGATTACTTAACCATTCTTTAAATTCACTACCACGCTTTCTTAAACAAAAGATGTGACTGTCCATGTCATCTTCAGTATCTATAATCAACTTTTTGATCATCTTAAAGCATCAATCCGTCAGCTTCAGCAGAAGAAAGTAGCCTAGAAGAAGCTTATGCTTAGTGCTCTACATGTAGCGAAGGAGAAGCTATCTATCTACTATGGGGAAACAGATAAGGTCCATGGTGATCTGTTTATAATTAGGACAATCCTTACACCGCAAAACAAGCTTCAGTTCTTTAATAATAAGGATTGGGGCCCTGAATTGCGTGATCAATATCGCAAAAGCTTTGAAACCTATGCAGGTCTGTATAAGGAACACTTATCAGCTACACAAGGCTCTCCACAGGTATCTTTATTAGGTGTTCAGATATCAAAGATTGATGCGCTTTTTGCTCCTAATTTTAATCTATTAGTGAGTAGTAATGAGACTACACAGTACCTTAAGAGTGGTAAGTAATATTATTATTCCTGCTAACACTTTACTAATTAATATCCTCTAATAGAAACAGCCCTAATTACTCTATGGACATTCTGGAAAGAGCATGAACACAAATTTCCAGCTCTTGCAAAAATGACACGCGATATACTCTCAATACCTGCCACTGGCGCTGGTGTTGAGCGGCTTTTTAATTCTGCTTGAGATATCTGCCATTATTATTGAGGCTCACTTAATTCTATGACAATCCAAGATCTAATGCTATTCATGTGTACATTAAGGTTTGAAGTAGAAGAAAAGGAACTTTCCCTTATAAAATAATATCTTTTAAATGAGGAACAGCAAGCACTTGATGAAGAGAAAGATACTCAATAGCTTCAAGATACTCTTGAGCCAATCAGTGATAATGAAGAAGATGATGGCCTGGAGATTAGTATAGACTAACTGGCTACTCAGCAGCTATCTAAGCGTGCTCAGGGCAAGAGACAAAGGAGTATGGTATCTAATGGGGAGCAAGAGGGCCAGGAACCTATTCCATCTGATGATAAAGTGGTTCTTCCTTTACCTAACATGTAACAGCGTATCTCTGGATGAAATCAGAAGTGTACAAGGCGTGAGGATGATCAGTTCCTTCATTATTAGTTGTTAGAGAAGAAATAGAAGGGTAATTAAAGATAATTTTCTTGAAATTCTTATTCTTCCACTCTTCAACTATACATATAAAGTATATACAGTTTGAATACCTATAAATACAAGATGGGACTACATAATTAATGCATATCACATAATCTAGAATGTTTGTCTGGTTTGTCTACCCAACTAGGTTACCCAAAACCCTGTTGGGTTCTATACAAAAGCCCAGAACCTAACTCAGAACACCCCCCTTGAGCCCAAAACCCAGCCCAAGTTGGGTTTGATACATGTTTCAGTTGGGTTACCCGGAACACCTGCCTAGGTCTAATGATAATAGGCTTCATGGGTGTCTGAGTAACTGTGCGGCAGGTCCTTGATTATTCCGACTGGTGACTTCCCCTGAAGAAATTTTTCTCCTCTATTGAATTACCTCACTACATGATTTGTTGAACCACCTTAGCAAGGGCTTCCTTGCAGGCTGGGCAGGCCAAACCCTAATGTCACAGCAATCATCATCACCACCCTTAGACTTACCTATGGAAATCATTAAAGTTGTATATCAAATTGCTGAGTACTACCAAGCTTTCCCTAATCAAACAAGATCACCTGACCTCAATACCTGTATTAACTACATTACCATATATTACACTGACCCTCTGCCTTATCATACTTATACCCCATCAGACACACCAGCTTCAGACGCACCAGCTCCAGCTGGAAGAACCAGAGCCACATCTGAACCTGTTGATATATGGTACCCTAAGTCCTGGTTACACTCACTGCGGACATTCCAGGCTGCAATATGGTGTTTCCTTATAAGAACAAGCAAAATCACCGCCATTGAGCCTGAGATCACACATACATCTGGAAATTCCATAAGGACTGGGTGCAGTGCATCAATTGCGTGGTCATCTCCATAGATAGTTATGCCATTGGGGAGTTTTGCCTGCTGTTTTGGGTTATTGTTTATCAGGATAATTCGCTGGTGTTGCTTGGGTTCCTTACATGCGGCTATATGTAGATCTGGTTCAGTGAGTTTCATCACTTTGTGTTGCTTAGTGATTTATAGTTTAACAACAGCTTGCTATGCTTCCTCTGGTCATACATGCCATGTGTTGATTACATCTATCTTGGATAGCATTCCAATCCTTGCTCTGTTATTGATGGTGATTGGCTGCTGTGTTGGGTTGACTGCTATAACATGGGAGAAGTTTGCATCAACTACAAGTATAAAAAACACTAAGCTGTGGTGCTGGAGTGGCTTAAATAGGTAATCTCTGTCTTTAGGTAGGTCCTTGCATGTAATGTAATCAGACACCAAGCAAGCCATGACACCGAGCGAGCCACCCAAATATGATTTCGGCCGCGGTCAAAAGCCATGAGATATTACTACTACGCAATCAAAATGAAGCCATCTCTATATATAAAAGAATCAAATTATCTACTACAGCAGCTAGTTCTAATATGCCTAATTTAATAGCAGTTACTGCATTATGGTGGTGCACGCTTTTTCTTAGGGATAGGCTCCATCATCTGTATAGCTTCTTGAGCAAGTTGCTGGCCTTCAGCCCCTATCAGGACCCCTCTAGTAGTAATAAAAGATCTAGGGGCTGCGTGCTTTTACTTTTGCTTTTTATTTACTGCGCGAAGCTCTATCCCACAGGGGGCGGCGACTGTACTTGACACCAAGCTAGGGTTTAGCCCAGAGCGGTTTAGCGGCCGGGGTATGGGGGTAGGGACCAACGAAACCGTCTGGGGTACAATCGTCGCGCCAGATAGAGTCGTATGCATTTCAAATTTTGGCAGGTTACTGGTTAGCTGGTTTCACATAATCTGACCAAATTTCAATTGGGAATTCGATGATTTGCAGCTGTAGTAAGGGTGTGGTTAATGTACGGAATTTTGATGTGGTTTGAGTTGCCGCCAAACAGTGAGAATCTGGAAAGCACTGCCCATGACCACCACCATGGCTCCAGGGGAGGTTGGAGGCAGTTTAAATTTAGCCAGCTCACTGATATACTAGTTCCAAGTAATCCAGCCAAATTTCAGTATCAAAATCAATGATTTGCAGACATGGTGAGGGCATATTTGACCCCCAGGAGTTGGTGTGGTTTGAGTTCCTGCGGATAGAAAAAGCAATGCCCACAAATCAAACATTCAGGGGCTGAATCCCATCATCATTCAGATAATCAGTTAAATAGTATTATATTCATCCAAATGAGCCATTAAGAATGGAACAGCAGTTATTTATTAAGCTTTCCCAGCCACCAGTCATTATCTGCCGGTCCTGCCGCCATGGGGTGTGGCTAGCTGAGGTAGAAAGCCATCTCCGGGGGAAGGCCCATCGATTACCCCAGGCCACTGCAAAGCAGATCCATCAGGACGTCCAGAGCTGGGAGGGTGTGGAGCATGACCCCCATGCTGTGCAATGGCCTAGTCGGATTACCCAGTCAATCCCCCACCTGGATGAATACCCTGATGGGTTACTGTGCCAGCGCGACCAGGCCAGATGCCAATTCATCACTCGTTCACTTGACACGTTAAAACGACATTGGCGTGAGCACCATGGATGGACCGCACCATATCATGGAGGTCGATCACGCCTGCAAGAGCAGGAACAGGCGCAGATCACCATCCAGCAGGGATATCAGGTGGTGACCTGCCAGCGGTTTTTCCCATCCCGAAAAGGGTCCCATTATATCTGGGTGCCATGCCCCAACCAGCAGCCTGAGGAGCAAGCCCGGACCGCACCCACTGCCCACATCCAGGCCACCGTTGATGCCGTGATCCAGGCATGGGAGCAGGTCCAGGCCCAGGCCAAGGCCGATCAGGCCATCCAAGCCAGCCAGTTGACTGACGCGAACCCCTGGCTGCGGATGACTCGGTGGGCTGACTACCTGCAGGGCATCCAGGCACGTGACCTGCTTGCTAGCATGGCAGCCCCGGAGGAAGACCCCATGGATGCCACTGAGCAGGGGGTGCAGGTGATCTGGGATACTATGGAGCAGGTGGCCCGCAAGAGCCAGCGGACGGTCCAGCATTGCGGCCAGGCCATCCGGGTGGAAGCCGTCCGGTCTGAAAAGGGGCAGACCCCGCACCGGCCACTGCTGGCATATATAGATGAGGCCGTGATCAAGAAGCATGTGCAGCCATGGCAGCAGATATTAGCATTTATTGCCCGGACCCAGGCCCCGCATGACTGGGCCAGCCCCCGATATGGGATGACCGCACGGCAGCGCCAGAAATGGCGGCAGCTATGGCAGCTCGCTAGCCAGGCCCCAGGCAGCCAGGGCAGCCAGGCCGCAGTGCCAGGGGACCTAGAGGCATGGGCCATGACTGCTATAGAAAAAGCATGCTTAGAATTTTGCATTGAGCTGCTCAACCAGCGCCATCGCAGCCATGAATATGAGAGTGCATTAGTATGCGCCATGGCTGTGCTGGGCCAGGGTGAGGCCGGCTGGCGCGACCCCGAGAGCTACCCCCCGATATTATCCCGCGTGATCAAGGTGGCCCGATTCATGGTGGTGCAGAAGGCATTATGGATGGACCCCAATCCATGGCAGATCATTCAGACCTGGGCGCGGAAGGACCAGAGCGCAGAATGGGTGCTGGCCAGCGCGGATGATCAACTCGGGGAGATTGATGAGGGATATGGCAGCGATGACCCCCCATCCACCCCAGGGGCCCCATCATCGCCCCCGTCATCCATCCATAGTGATGACCCATTGCCCGCGGTCCACATTCGCCCGAGCCGCCGGCCATTCCAGGAGCAGGTGACATGGATGATGCACCAGTTTATGATCCGTGGGACCCACGGCCCCATGGAGACATTGTTGGACTGGCGCACATATGGATTAAAGGTCCATTATAATCATACGGCCCCCGGCCATGTGACAGGATGGGGGAGGACCAACTGTTATACCAGCAGATGGCATTCACCATGGGGGGATTTTC